TGTTTTGTTATTTTTCTAGTTTAAAGTATTTTTTAATTAGTAAATGTTAAATTTAAATAATATTATATTTTATAAAAAGTTTGTAAAATGTAAAATAGGGATTTACTCGTAAATTTTTAAAAGTATGGAGTATAATTAACAATTAGTTGTAAATAGAAAAAGAAAATATACTTAGAATATTTTATTTTTTGTGTAAAAAATGGTGTAATACATTAGAGCAAAACCTAACACCAAAATGGTGTTACACCATTTTTAGTGTAAAAAATGATGTAATACATTAGAGATACTCTAAGTTGTGTCCAATGAACGATACCAAACAAAAATAACATGTTTATTATTTTTTTTTTTATAGAAAATGTGAATTTTATATACTAAAAATTAGAAAATTGTTTTTTACATTTGCTAGGCGGAGCATGAAGTATCAAATAAGCCAAAAAAAAAAACTTAAAGTGAGACTAGGAAAAGAGCTATATATCCAAACTATCCTGACAACTACTCATATGTGAACCCAAAAAAGAGCAAATTGTGAAAGGACTTACGGTGAATCCGGACAATACTATCAATAGCTTTATTAACTTGTTTATTAATTTGTTGGTAAATAGTAAGACTTTCGTTTAAAAAATATCATGTAAATTTTATTTTTCGTCGTTCTAATTATGTATTTATTTATGGTTGGAGGTATTGTTTTTTTTTCACTGTTTGGATGTATATGTATAATTGTGTGTTGTATTTTGGATGTATCAACTTTTTACTCAGATTTCAAATTAATGAATCAATGGATGTTAAAAAGAATAGCATCATAATTATCATTTGTTACTTGAAAATTAATTTTTAAATGGCTTGTGTTTTTTGTTTCTTTAAATAGTTTGTGTTATTTATAGAAAATGTAAAGCAATAAAATTTCTTTAAAGATCACTCTTTGCTAAACAATCTATAATATCCCAATGTATATTTAATAAGTTTCAAAAAAAAAAAAACAATGTATATAAAAGGGATTTATGGACAGTTGTTTCTCTAACCTTTTCCTTTCACTTCTACGTGTACATTATTAACTTATTATCATCTCAAAACAACAATATATATTTACGTAATTAGAGCTAAATATTACGTCATTAAAGCTAATGTGAAAATATCGTTTTTGTAGTCTCAGATTAGTGGTCAACTAATGCAAATGTAGTGATTCATTTTTCAATTAGTGGTCGCAATAATTCTCCCTCATGAGTTATGATTCAGAGATTCATATAATATTATATAGTAGTGCTCCTATGCGAAGCTATTGCCCTTTTGTGCCATTCTTTTTGTTGACAGGAATCAAATTCTCCCGCTTTATAGAAGACCTTTACTTTTAGTTTTACATTCTTCACTATTTGAATTCGTTTCTTTATCTTTTTATATCTCAGAATATTTACATTCTCTGAGTTTTGATCGGCCATAACGTATATATATAGTGTGTTACGTTATACATTTTTTCCTTCTTCATACATTATAGTATTTGTGTCTCTATCGTATACGCATGCGTATGGCCCAATTAAGCTCAGACACTAGCTAAACCCTTTTTGGAAATACAAACAAAATTGCATTACTTACTATTGTTGTATCATATAATGTATGGAGGAAATTATACTCTAGTTCATTACCACTTTTTATGATAATGAGGTTTGAGTTTCTTTAGAAAAATTAACAACCAAATTGCTGTAACAAATAAAATGCATCAACGGATATTTTCAAATATTGGAAAAGACTTTTTTTTTTTTTAGCAAAGCTCATTTCCTATTAATTATAGCATCATTCAAATCAAATATTAAGACACGGTCTGCATATTATAGCATTATTTTCACACTATTCTATTTTTCAGTAAGAGTCAATCATTTAGTGCTCGACTCATGTGTTTAGGAGATCTAATTTTTTTCAGCAGCAAGTCCTATATAAGTTCTAATCTTATACGAAAATTTAAATATCTTTTATTATATAGATGTGCATGTCTAGATATGTAAACAGTTAAGGATGGGAAATCTGTATATCATTTACTCTGGAAGTTAAAAGCTTTAAGAGTTGGGATCATTTGCAACATCCAAAACAAATGAGAATTGTGACTATTAATTAAGGTCATGATGCTTTGCCAAAAGACTCTCAATCATGAGCAAGTTCTATATGGTCAACTCCGTTTATGTAATGAATATAATCAATTACAAGCAACAAACCAAAAAACAAAAAAAAACAGTATAGTAAAAGTCTAAAAAGAGACAAAAACCATGGTAACATTTTTGAAATAATTTGGGATGACCCATTAAGAATAAATGGACTAACAAAGATTATCAATATATATGTGTCCCCACGAGGACCGCACCCACTTAATTCCCCAACTTAAATACCCTATTGACCCCG